GCTCTTTTATTAATTTTGTTAAATATTGATGGTTAAATAAACTAGGAACTAATAATATATTAATATATTCAGTCAACAAATTCGAGAAAAGTCTTTCAATCAAACAAACCTTGTACCATCCAGGATGTTGTGTCAGATATTGTGCAGCTTGGCAATCAACTATAAAAAACATATCTACTTAAATTGGTCTGTTTATTACTGATTGAGTTAGATTCCACAATAAATGGTTTAAAACAAAATTTCTTTACAATCGCTATAACCTTAGATCGTTTCCCTAGAATAATCCCAAGAAAACTGCCAAATGATCAAATAATTGATTTCAATGGCTGACTACCTGATTTAGTAGACAAAGAATTGCTAAAATCTAAAATAGAATGGGAATAAAGGCTCTCAATAGAATGTAGCCCTTTTAAATCTAATAGATCTTTTTTTTTACTGATATAATGTTGGAGTATTGTTCATAATTTTGAAGAAACCACAATTATAATAAATAATATTCTACTAAAATTAATTTAAATAATTAAATATTTATTAATATTGAAAATAAAGATTAAAAAAAATTTTGTTATTATAATTCCTTGCTATTTACTCCTGTTCTACTTAAAATATTTATGTATGACTATTAAATTATAATACTATTAATGGTCAAGAGTTTTTGCGAGTCAATAATTTAATAGTTTTATAATAGTAGTAGTAATAGTATTTTTTTCTTTTCTTATGCAATTACCTAGTACATTTTTTTAATCATTTTATGTTTTTATTGTAAATACTGTTAGCTAACACTTTGACTGTTGATTTTTTAAATTGATTTCAGTGAAACATAAAAACCAATAGAGTTATAAGTTTCCCGAAAAATGACAAGAGGTCATAAACAATAATGGCGAATATAAACTATATTAGAATTAATTTCCATTAAAGAGAATTTTTGCTCAAAAATATAAAAAAAAAAACGCGAGTATTTTTTTTAATATATAATACCCAAAAGTACTAAAAAGCTGGGATTCATAAATTGAAAAGTCGTTCGATTAAATACGTTGACGTTAAGGAAAAATTAAATACAAAAAAATATGGTTATCAATGAAGAAAATGTTGGTTTAAAAATATTCCAAAAACGTTGAACGTTTTTTAGATCACCCAATACCAAAGACTACTAGAGAATTGGTATCTATAAATTGGAGAATAGATGGGAGTTGAGAAAAAATACATTGACGTTAAAGAAAATTGTAGTAAAATTATTTTTATAACTAAAAATCGTTTTTTTAGAACTTTGAACTGCTTTAGTAAATTATAATTTTTATATATAATTTTAATAATGGCGAAACTCAACAAATGCCTTTATGCTGATACTGCCTTTCCCTACCTAGGGAGTTTGGGTATAAGAAAAATATTATTTAAATCAGCTGCACGTAACAATGACGGTAATGTTAATGACTAATGGGAATACTAGAAATTATGGTGAAAAAAATTAAATTTTCGTGTTGTAATTATTTAATCAATAAAAAAATATTATTAAATATTTCTTTTATTAAACTGGGTAAAAAGACTGTATAATATATCATACAGTCTTATATTAAATATTAAAATTTGCTTTAAGTTATAATTAATTAATTTTAATTAACTTAACTTATTTAACTAGATTAAATTAAGTTAAACTTAATTATAATTAAGTTAAACTTAATTATAATCAAGTCATTTCTTTTTTTACTTTAATAAAAATAAAGGAGTTAGAAAGTTTTCTTCTTACGTGTATATTTGTGGTGTTCTGTATGTATATAATATATGTGATATCGCTAACCTATAATTCTATTATATGGTATTGTATACAAAATCAAAATATTGACTCAAACACATTAATTACAGTGTTTGTCTTCATCCTAGAGGAGGTCAGAAAACAAATTAAGTAAATATTTTCTAAAAGCTTTAATCGCTCCTACTCTCATTACGAACTCACTCAGGGAAGTGTTTATTATATTCTCTCGTTGCATTTCATAGTTCTAAGCATGCAGAAACAGGACAAACAAATTAAAATAAATAAAAATTCAAACAAAAATAAATGTTTTTTTTTTATATCCTGTTTGCGGCAATTATGGACGAATGCTTTTTTAATCCATTTTAATTCTTGGTTGCAAACCTCGCTGGCTTCGAAAACTATAAAAAAAAACAGCGTAGAATCTTTAAAGAAAAGAAAATAGAGACCCCGAATTTTATGTTGTGCTCGCAGCAGTTGTTGATAATCCTATGCTTCTACGTGTATTGTTGTTGTTTAATGTTATTGAATTATTCCTATAAATTTTTCTTTTTTATTTTAAGCACTTTTAAAATTTTCTTTCACTTTCTTATAGGTTATATATTGATTATTAATATTTTCATTTACTTTTTACATATTGTAAAAATTTTTTATACTTTTCGAAACACGCAATGTCGCCGTCCGTCGTCTTTGACATAAATCGATAGTGCAGAAAGTGGGCCAAAGTACATATGTAGAATTGGGTACATGTATGTATGCATATATCAGCCCGCAGCGATTTTTTAATTTTTATTCAAATTTTTCATTTTTTTTGAATTGCATTGCACTTAAATTGGTTAGCTTTTCCGAAGACTTTTCCAATTTCAATTTCATTCCATTATTTTTTTTCTTTCATTTTCATTTTAGGTTTTAAAATTTAACATAATTTTCATTTTTAGAAATAATTTACTTGATATATTTCATTTCAAAACATGATAATTAATTTTAATATTCCATATATCATTTATTTTTTCACAGGATAATTAATTTTTTCACACTTTGTTGCATAAAATTTTTGCTTAAAAATCATTAATTTTCTTTGCACCAAAAATTTTCCCAATTTTTCTGTTACGTTAAGCACAACGCGAAAATGAAGACTAACGTTTTTCGCAAAACTTTCTGCCCACAAGGTGGTTGTTTCGCGTCCAGAGAGGACCCATCCGAGAGCGCTTTTCTTCTCTCCGTTCTCAATATTTTTGTTTGCGTACACCGCAAATGATAAACAAAACAGAAAAACGTGTATTTTCCATTCTCTGTTTATGAGTTTTCAATGACTTTTATCACAATCCGTTTTGACGCAATTTTCAAGGACAAAGAAACCTGACAGATTTATTTTATTCTTTTTAAACTTGCATGTGACATTTAAAGTTAGGGGTTTTACCGGTTCTTTACATACCTGAGTTGAAATAAGTTAGCATGATGAAAAAATAATACAATTTTTCAAAAATGCCTACTATACATTAATAATATGATAGGAAGTGTGTTTAATTAATTTCGATTAATTTAATTAAATATTTCGACCTTGAAATTTATTCTCGAATTTTTCGAAAATACCTACTATATATTAATAATATGATAGGAAGTCTATTTAATTAATTTAATTAAATATCTAGAATTTGAAACTTATTTTCGAACTTTTCGAACCCAACTAATATACTAATTAATATGATAAAAAGTTTATTTAATTAATTTCAATGAATAAATTTAATTAAATATTTTGAACTTGAAAGTTCAGCATATAAGTCGATGATAAATGACTATTGCCGCCCTGCTCTCACCTAGGTGAGGTTTAGACCTAATAAACCTTTCTAAAAGTTTGATTCAAAACAAATTAAGTCAGACTTTGTTTGGGGAGTAGTAATGATATCGTACCATAAAACTTTCCATTCCCGAAATTATTATCTATTGACTTAATAGGTTCCACTGCAATGAGTTCAGTATTATATTAAGCAATTTATATTAGACTTTGTTTTGAGAGCAGGTAAGAAATTGCCGTATTATAAATACTTTCTATTTCCTAATTTATTATATATTTTTTTCCTACAAGTTCTAACTGCTCTATAGAACTTTCGAAAACTTCATAGGTTTCACTGCAATTACTGAGAATCTTTGTGATTTCATATTTCCTCTGTTATTCTCTTTGACAAACTTGAGCGTAAATTCCTTACTGGATTTTCATCTGGTTCATTAGATGTATATGTTATATGCTAGATGCGTGGAAAGAAATTTGTCACATGACCAGTCACAGATTTTTCGGCTTGGTTATGGCATATGTAATACGACTTAATATCGTATATAGCAAAGGTTAAATTTCCTAATATGAGCTCATTATAAATAAATCAACTAATTTAAAGCAAAAAATGTCGAATGCAACCTTTATATATGAATTTTCCAAATTTGCAATATTTATCATATGTTTTATATGTAAATTGTTGACAAATAAGCTATTTCAATTGCATAAATCAGTTCATACTAATGGAAACAACCAAATCTTAAATCTCATACCAATTCGTAAACATAAGTAGTATTATACATAGGTTTCGGTCATTAATGCCGCTAATGAAGATGATTTACCACACAAATAGATTTTATGTAAATGAGCTCATTATCACATTTACCCCAAAGGCAATAATATTTGTCATATTTTTTATTTGTAAAATATAAACAAATAACAGCTGAACTATAAACGAAGGCACTGAGGAAGTAAATATTTAGTAAAATCTTTGTTTCTATTAATTGAATGTGTAATTGATATGTAAACCGTATATAAATGATTTAATATATCAATTATAAATTTAATTATTTAATGATACATTACTAAGTAAAGTTAATAAAAGTTCTATCAGCTGCATATGTGAACTCATTATAATGTGAACGTTAATTCATTACTATGAATAAGTAAGTGCCTAAATGAGACACTGTGAATGTAGTATTAGCTGCAGTGGAAACTTGATATAATGAGTTAATAAAATAAACAGATTTAAAAATCGTTATTTCTTTATTTAAACCAAATGGTTAGTAAGAATAAGAATATACGATTTATTAGATTTTTTCACTTGATACTTAAAAATCATTATTTCTTTGTTTAATTCAAGCGATTAGTAGGAACAAAAATATGTAATATATGTATGTACATACATACAATATATATGTAATATACATTGTAGCATTTCAATACTTTCTACATGATCTGCTTTTCTTAGAGAGAACAAACGATTTTATTTTACCTTTAATTTAGGTTTTTGTACAAAATGTTGATGATCTGTTACATCTATACAACTATAGTGAGTTCATAACAAAATGAGCCACTGTAAAAATAATCAGCTGTTCATTTGCAAACGAAAATTGCATCAAAATAAAAAAAATGTAGCCAAAACATTAAATACGCGTTCAATTTGTTTACTAAATATGACAATAATAAATTATGTAAATACTAAGTAACAAAAATGAATGAAAACAGTAGCAATATTACATTTTACGAAGCCCAACAGACAACAAATACTGCAATGCAGCAAGATAAAAATCATGACATGATGCTTGATTTGAGTTTAAGCGGACAAAAATCTGCTAACATATTTGCAGGTATATTAAATGAATAATTTTAATAACATAATTTAAATAACATTAATATTTTAGCTGATCAAACACCGACACCTACACGTTTGATTAAGAACTGCGACGAAGTGGGCCTGTTTGATGACTTGCGGCATGTTAATCCCTTTGATGAAACCTTTCGACGTGCTGTTGAACAAAACGAAGTTGGAAAAATAAAACAAACTCGTAATGAAAATAATGAATCCCAGCCAGAAGAAGAATCATTACATACACCACAAGTTTTCCCGTTATTAGAAAGCAATGGAAATGCACTATTTCAATCTTGTGAGAAGACATTAGAAAGTCCATCAACTGCCGGTGTCGCTTTAGATGTAACCGTTGTAGATCTCTTAAGCGATTGTGCCGCTTATATAAATAGACAAAATTCCTCTGGAAGTAATTGCAGTGAAGAAAAAAAACAAAATAAATATCGTAATATAGCAGAAAAACCAGAAACAAATAATTGTCTACAAATTGCACCAACATCAATACAATTAATACAACCACAACTCATAACATTAAGTTTTCCAAACGACAGTGAAAGTATAACACAGTCTAAGCAAACAATTAATGCTATACCAGTACAAACCGTAAAGCCATTCATTTTACCTAAACCAGCAACTGCCACAGTAGCCAAACATCATAATACTTCAACTGCAAACAGTGCTGTTACTACAAATCATATCACAATAAACTCACCAAGTATTAACAATGAACCAAGTAGTGCTAGCCTCACGCCAACTTCACAATTGCCCATTAAAGAACGCTTGAAAGCTATACTTAATCAAAATAATAGACGCAGTATTGAAATTCCTATAAAAACCAATAATCGCCAGAGGACTATTGCCGGCAAAGCACACTATAAATTTGATGAAGATTGTATGGAGCGGCGACGTGCTGCTGCCACACGTTATCGAGTTAAAATGCGTAATGAACATAAAGATTTAAGAAGGAAAAATATTGAATTGCAAGCCGAAAACGAGAAGTTACGAAATCGTGTAAGTCAGTTGGAACAAATATTGAGTAAACAACAAACAATAGGTGCTCAACTATCTACAGATGGTAATATGTTTTAGAATTTTGTGTTTTAATTTTTTAAAACTAATAGTTTTTGTTCACTTTTTTAGGTACCAATAAATCAGCCATTTCTCTGATTAAATCAGAATTCGAGATTCCTTCATCAACGATTAAACTCGTAATGAAAATTCCAAAGATGGTTGTCACACCAAATGGTCCACCTCTTTTTCAAAATCCTATAACGTATAGTATTGAAAAGAAATAGTAGAGATTAAACTGTGTTCTTTTATATTTCCTAAGAAAATAATTAAATTGTTATTCTATGTTTTTAATGTTAAATATAATTTCACCGTTACTGTGCCATTAAAAGGAGAGCAAAGAGCTGTTCCTGAATTCTGATCAGTGTATATATAAAATAATAGTTTTATTTATAAAAGCAAACTATATCCTTAGAAGCTATATAATTTAAGTTATTTGGAATTGTAAAAATAAACCTTATAAAATATTTTCAAACAAATTAAACAAATTAAATTAAGTCAATACTTAAAAACAGTTTAAACAATATTCTATTGGGTGAACCAATATCCAAATGGGAATAAAATGCTAAAATTCTCTCGTGCCACATAGATGCTCACCCTAATGGCATCATGTTTGGTACCACCTTTTTTCTCAGATGGACTTCTTGATTCTTCTTATCATGTCTATAACGAAATCAATTGCAATCGGGCTAACATCAGTGAAGGCAAATATAATCGTAAACTAACAGCTCTTCACACAGATATAGTATTCTCAACGAAATCGTCTAATGAAGTTCTCAATACGTCTTCGTCTAATGTTACTTGCGAAGAACGACCCCGTGTAACAAAACTGTTCAATTCAAAGGTATTTTCTATTTAAGCTAGACCAGTATATTGGGTTATTGCAAGCATAGGACAATCAAAGAAGAGTTAATGAATAATGAACAACTTAACCGAAATTCTACGGTCTAATTTATTAAGTAAGGCCACTGAACAACATCAAATTATATACTAAAAAATAGGCAAAAATGGTTTTCCAATGTATTGTGTTGTCGCATCATTGTCCTTCCCTACTTAAATTCACTATGATATGGGTTTCTCTCTATTTAAATTTTTGACAGTTTGTACGTAGTTTACTATGACCTGGGTTTCACTGTATTCAAATTTTGGACAGTTTGTACGACAAATGCAGTTGTAGCTGCAGTGGGTGCGTACAATGCAAGACTGAATTATATTTTTACGTTTTCATTACAATATGTACAATAAAATAGGTCTGTTCCACGCGCTACTCGTAGTAATAGTACGTTTACATTGGCTCTTAATGACTGATTTAGGTCAAAAAATCACAACTGAAATCATATGATTGATTTCTGCGTACAAAATCTCATATGTGAAAATGACTAATATGGCGTTTAAACCAAAGAATCTCCTTTTTTTAGCTTCAATTAAGTATTTTTTGGGAAGTAGAAGTTAAATCGTTTTCAAGGGAATGCAACATTTGTTTACTTTTTTTTGTAAATATGTCAAAAACAGCTCTCTCAAACTGTCAAAATGCCATGAGTGAAAAGTTTCATCACTTCGAACGGAACGTTTCACCACCTTAAACGGTCTTCAATTTTTTTTACTACGAAAAAGTGAAAATTGGGTTTTGTTTAGGTTTTTTTGACAAGAGAAATGCGCCAAAAACTTAAAAATGCAGTCAAATCAAACTAAGCTATAAAAGGTAGTGACTAATATGGCGTTTACATTGGCCGAAAATGGCTCATTTTGAATGAGCCATATGAAAATGTTTACATTCGTTCTATTTCATTTGTTCTCATTTCAACAGCTGATTTTTCAACTTGCATGTTGATTTGATTTTTGGCCTGTGCCAAAAAAATGTTGCATGAAGGTTAAATATGCCTTCAAACCTTACATTAGAAACTGAAAACATATTTTTAACTTCGATTAATTTATTTTTGGGAAGTAAAAGTTCCAAAAAGCAGTGCATCGTTTTCAAGAAAATGCAACCACCAAACATTTGTTTACCTTTTTTTGTAAATATGTTAAAAACAGCTTTTTCAAACTGTCAAAATGCCATGAAAAGCTTTCATTTAGGGTATGTTCAATGGATTCCTTTGCATTTGGAACGTATGTGGAATGCATTCGAACGTCATTCATACAGAATGTGAGAAAATTGCTCATTTTTGTGCTTGAAATTTTATATGCAAGAATGAGCCATTCGATACTCATTTTCGATTTTTGACCAAAATGAGCCATTTTCGGCCAATGTAAACGCCGTATAAGTTTCTTTGAAAAAATAATTTTATTATTTATAAAAAATTTTAATTTTATTATTATCTGAGTTATTAATATTTGTAGATGGTGCGGAAAGGGTAATGGGATGTAAGTTATTTAAGCGAATATATGTATTTCCTAAATATGACGAAAATTAAAAAACAATAATTTATTAATGTGAATTTAAAATATATGTTTTATGGTTAATGTGATTTGTATGTTTTTATGTGTATATATACAATGTGTATAAATAATCGTCAAACGTGAAAAAATCTTCTGAGAAAACGAAGTGAAAAAGTTACATAAACGAGCCGCTGAAAATAAACACATTAAATAAATTATATTGCATCATATATAATATGTTAAAAAAATTGTGAACAGTCTAACTGCTTCCACAATTTATAACAACCCTGGTCAAAAAGTCATATGTAAAATGAACATAGCTACTGAGTAGAAAAATTCAACAATGCAAACGCAGCTGATTTCTGAATTGACCACACCAACAAAATTACCATAAACAGTGCATAATAATATAAATTTTTCATAACAACGTAAATTATGAAACGAAGAAGGTCGAAAAGTTATAAAATTTAAAAAGTGTGTAAATGTTAATGTAATTTATGAAATAACAAAAAAAGCAATGACTATTTGAATACACATTTGTGTAAATTGAAGAATTTTGTTTTGAATGTACGAAATATTGACGAGTTTCAACGGAGAAATTGAAGAAGAAATTATAAGATATAAAATAAAGTTGTCAACAAAAAAAAGGAGACTTTCTGTTAATGACGTCACATTAACTCTATTATGATATTTGGAATCATTTTAGCAGATATATATAAGGAAATAAAGAAACGATAATAAATAGTTTACAAGATGATGCAAGGAATTGAGGGCAAGGTTGTTGTTTTGGGCTCGAGAGGTGAGTACAGTATTAGCAAAAGTTATGTATATGTGCATATATGTATGTTAAATCCACAAAAAATTTAGTATTGGAATTGCCTTGGTTAATGCTTTCGAAGTGCCTTTCTTGTACAATGAAAAGTACAATAGAATATAAAGTATAAATAAACAGAAAATAAACCCCTCACGTTACACATTTAATTTAGTCATCAAATTCTGCTGACACAGTAGCTGCGTCCCTTCTTTTATTTATGAGCTAAGCAATGTGTGTTTTTTTGCTTGGCAATACAAAATGAAAACAAAAGCAGATAACAGATAAATTTTTTTGTAAATAAAAATAAACAAATAAAATTAACGGCTGCAGTTTTTATCAGTTGTAAGCGTTTAGTCTCAACAAATACGAGAGATATTCACAAATTTCACACAAACATTTAGTAAAACGACGCAAAATCGCTAAATGTGGTCAGCGAAAAGATATCTCCTGTTCAGCCATCGTAACCAACCGTCTAGCGATATAGTGAAATAATTAAATATGATATATGTTTGGCTATTAGAGGGATTACTGTTGGCCTTGTCTCAAGTATCTTATCATAAATTTGATATGCTGGGTAAATGTACTTCAAATACGTAAACAATGGAAATTGTATGTCTGGAACTAACTATTGTTTCTTCTATTGTTTAATTATTTAGAATATTTAATCTTTGTTTTGTTTACTTTAACGCTTTAATGCTTTAACTCTTTTGTTGTTTTAACCTAATTCGGGGAATTACATTTTATTGTATTTCTATCTCAGCAATAATTTGTCAATGCTTTGGTGGCAAACGTTCATGTTTGTTTCGCTAATGAAAAGAAAGAAATTTCAATTGTAAAATACATAAAATGTTTTATCTAAACAATCTTTATGAAACTGAAATTGTTTAGGTTTCTTAACTCCTCTAATCTGAAGAAGTACAAAACTTTTTAGATCGAACGACCTCTTAAATGTGATCGTGATGATTAATAAACTTTTATTATTTTATTATGCATATAAAACAATGTTATCATACAGTGAGACAACGAATAAAACAACTTTTTGTGTGGAATTTGATTTCATTCATCCACGTAGTCTCCATCAAGTGGTATACAAGATTAACTCCCTTCATCTTTGGCTTAAAAACATGCTTCAGTTTCCACGATACCTTTTTCATTGGAATAAAATCTCTTTACTTTTTGTCAGAATTCCACTTTATTCATCGACGTAGTCTCCATCAAGAGGCACACAACACTAACTCCCTTCATCAAGTCTCCATCAAGAGTTACACAAGACTAAGTTCCTTAAAGAATGATTTATCTTTGGCTCAAAAATATGCTTCAGTTTCCACGATGACTTTTTTGGAATCAAATCTCTTTAACTGTAGTATTTTTTTTGGGAACTACAAGCAGGTAGTAGGGCTAAATTAAGCTAATACGGTGAGTGTCAATGCAATTGGAAGTGTGATTTGTGCAATTTGGTCATATTAGCCAATGATTACACATTGTTTTGGTCAAAGAGGACTATTTCCTTTGTCAAATGGGATTATTTCTTCGTCATATACTCTCTTAAATCCGCCAAGAGTTTTTGGTCTAATGTCAACGAATATAGAACCTACTTCGAAAACTGTTTTCTCGTAAAAAAATGTTTATGCAAAATGAAGTCGACACCTTCTTTTAATTCTTTAAAGTGTCAGCTAGCTTAAAACTCCATTTTACGGTTTACTAAAATGATTTTGTGCTGTTTTCCGGTGTCACTATCTCTTTTGGGCGACCGGCATCATTGCATTCGGCATCATTGATGTTTGTACGGTCACGTTCAGCAAAACATTTATATACCATAAGTCTCGATGGAGCAGATCCGAGGGTCAAGCTTTTTATGTTACAGTACATTATCTCATAAAAAAACAGTCATAGCTAATCAAGCCATGAAGATGCTTTGAATCAATTGTTCTCAAAATATAAATAAAAGGGTCACTAAAACTAAATGAGTAACCGTTCAAATGTTTTTTTTCTTTCATTTGAAAAGTATCATTTCAAAGTTATGACTTTTTAAAATGATATAAATTTTTCATTGGTGTAGCCAATAATGTGTCATCATACCGACTTATTAGTCGACATGTTATATTTCTAGTACAGAGAAATACTTATTTTTTACATAAACTAAAATATGCAAGAATGCGATGACTAAAGCTTAAACTTAGCCAATGTAGGCGTACTGCTT